CCTCCTGTATATGTGTACTCCCCCTTCCTATCCCCTCTTATCCCTCCGTTAAAAATTCCCCATCCCACCTCTTCCAACTCTTTTATCAACTTCTTCCCTTCCTCATTAACTTTCTTGTCCTTCGATCTTCTTTCTTCTTCCTCCTCCCCTCCTATCACCCCCCCCCTTCTACCTGTCCTTGCGTTGAAATCTCCTCCCAAATCGTCCATTTATTTTCTTCTTTCTCTTCCATCCATTCCTTCATTTCCTTCCTCCTTTCCTTTCCATGTCCCCGTTGATGTATACGCCTATTACCCTCCACTTCTCTCTTCCTACTTCTAAATCCGCCATCATTATTCCCTCCGCCTTTTCTCCCATTCCTGATACTTTTATCTTCCCCCTCTCCTCCCTTACCCCCATGATCATTCCCCCCATCGGTCTTCCTTTCTTCTTTCTCTTCTTTGCTGCTTGCTTCTCCCATCTATATCCTTTCGGTAACCTCTTTTTAATCGCCTCCCACCCCCTTTCCTCTATCCATGTTTCCATCATCACCACCACCTCCCAATCTTCTATTTCCTTCCAGAACTTTTCTTCCTTATTCTTCAGCCCTGCCACATTCCAAAAACCTATCTTCCATTCTTCTCTTACTTCCCCTCCTTTTTCCTTTCTCTCCTGTTTTTCCTTTCTCCTTTCTGCCTCCGTCCCCCTTTCTCCTTCCTCCTTTCTCTTCTTACTATTGTTCTCCCCTCCTCCTTTCCTCCTTTCTTCTCTTCTCCCTTCTTCTATCCCTTTTTTTCCTCCATTCCTGTCTTCATACCCCCTTCTTCCCCCCTCATTTTCTCTATACCTTCTCTAATTTCTCCTTTCCAATTTTTAAGCACACCTTCCTCCTCTTCCCATCTCCACCATACATCATTGATTTTTATCCTTCCATAGCTCGTCCATACATTGTTTCCTTTCCTCCTTTCTATCTCCGCGATCTCCATTAGTCTCCATTTTATCTTTCTCTCTTCCCATGTTAAATCATCTTCTATTCTCACCCTCTTTCCTCTTAATATCTTCTTCCTCTCCATTACCTGTCTTTTGTTCTCTACTTCCTAGTTTTACTACCACCATTTCACCTTCCTTTCCCTCCTTTCCTTTCAACATCCTTATCCATTCTATCTCTGCTTTCGCTCCTATCTCTTTCATTAATTTCTCTACTCTTTCCTTTACACCTTCCTTCCCTTTCTCCATTCTTTTTATTACTATGTTTATTTCTTCTCTCTTCTCTTTCCTTCCATTCTAATTTCTTTCCTATGTCCTTCACTTTTCCTATTATTGTCTCGTTTATCCCCTTACTCCCTCCTTCGCCCCCCTCTCTTTCTCTTACCTCCTTTCTTCCTCTTTCCTCTACTCTTGCTTCCAAATCTATCACTCTCTTCTCCAGGCTCTCTATCTCTTTTCTCAATTCTCTTCTTTCTTCTCTCCATTCCCCCTCCTTTTTCCAAATTTCTATCTTCAACTTTCTCATTTCCTCGCCTAACTTCTCTGTTATCTTCTCCCCTATCTCTTCCATCATCCTCCTTAACTCCTCCTTTTCTATCCCCCCTACCTCTCTATTCAGCCTTTCTGTCTTCTTGCTCCTTCTTAGGCTTCTTTCCTCTTCTTCCTTATCCTCCTCTCCCCCTTCTTCTCTTTTCCTTTTCAAAAAATCCTCTATACATCCCATACTGCTCCTCCTCTCCTTCCCTAACTCCTCTACTCTTCTCGGCCTCCCTGCCTTCTTTTTTATTTCTTCCTCATCTCCCTTTTTTCCCCCTTCCTCTAACATCCTATCTCTATTGGTCTCTATCCTCCTATCTCTAATATTCTCTTCATTAATCATTTCCTCTTATCGCTTTCTTTCTTCGATTCACCTACTCTATGCTCCAACTCGCTCCAACTCGCTAGTAAATTCCCTAGTGAATTCCCTAGTGAATTCCCTATCTTTTTATTCTACTGCACCTACTCCCTACACCTACTCTCTTTCTTCCACGTGTCTACGTGTCCACGTGTCTCACCTTTTCCTACTTTCTCCTTTCTAACTCCTTACCCCTTTATCCTCTCCTATCCTTTCAATCTCTCCTCCTCTTTTTTCTACACCCTCTCACCTCTTATCTCCTATTCACCTCACCCCTTTTCTCACTCTTTCCTCACAAATACCTGCCACGCTTTCACACACCTGTCACTCACTCTCTTACCGGAACCGGAAGCCTACTTGCATTTATTATATTAATAATTAAATCATATAAAATTATATTATGTTTATATATAAATACAAACATAATATAATAAATAATATATATAATAATATAATATTAATAATAATTATTATTTGAAATTCATAAATCTCGCCAGTAAATAAAATAGTAAAAATAAGTCGCCAGTAGATAAAATAACAGACTGAGATTCAATCGACCAAACTGGCAATTTATTTATTCAATTATACTGAGTCACAACGTTTTGACCACAAGTTATTTGGTCCTTATCAAGTCTACCGTAAAATGTAGTTACAATGTTAAACTGTCAAAAATAAGACAGAAAATCGTGGTGTCATGATACTACGTTAATTGTTTCGTTTAACAGGATACACACACACACACGCGTATGTATGTATGCATATTGCATGTATGCATGTATGTATGTAGGTATGTAGATATGTAGGTATGTAGGTATGAAGGTATGTATGTATGCATGTATGTATGTGTGTATGTCGTATCATACGATTCTCCCTACCCCCAAATATATATTATATACACATATACATGTATGTATATACACATATTTTTTGGAGCCACAGTTTATGGTATACTCGACTATACAATCGAGTATATATAATATTGTATATATAATATTGAGTATATATAAACGGCTGTTGCGTGATATCGATGCGTCGATTGAATTTCGGAATAGTGGGCGGTTCGTCGGAAGTTAGGGAAGAGTGCCGCTTGGCATATCAAATGGCTTTTGCCTCAGGCGACATTTTTCAGCGCTCTCGCCTTGCCAATTCCGTTCTGAACGTATAACGGCCGAAACATTTTACATATTTTATATAAGTAAATATTTTTGTATTTTACATTTTATAAATCGGCGTCCGTGCCAAATGCATGATTAGCGTTTGCCAGAGATCAGACTTCTGATGAATTACTATTTATCTTATTATGAAATATTTGCTAATTTAACATCATATTGTCTCGCCGTCATGGAGGGAGATAGATTCGAAGTGATCTTCTGCTCAGATATGTTTGACGAGATTGATAAATTGACAAATGATAATGTAGATTGGAATGTACACATAATAACCGCAGTTGTTGGTATCCGTATAGTGTCTACACTATTTTTGATATCAATATTTCTGGCTTTATATTGCGCAATTATAGCAGTGCTTATATATTTGTGAGGCACAATATATATTGTATATTCACTTAATTATTAAATAATCTTTTAATAATATATATATAATTCATTCCCCAGAAATGCGATGTGACTTATGATACACCCTGTATATATATATATATATATATATATATATGTAAAGAAAGTGTATTTTTTCAATTAGAATCTGCCGCTCAACGCGGCCATAATCAGTAAATATCAGATAATAAGCGAAAACCGATTTTACCATCGCATGAGGGAGGTAGAGTAGAATATAGAGAATTAAGGAAATAAGGGATAAGCACGTGTATGTGAAAGTGATAAGAAGAGAATTACACCAAGGAATAAACTTTAATGTCGTTTCGTCATTACAGAAACTCAGTACTGCTTATTTGATGGTGTGGGACCCCTTAACCTCAATCCATAAAGAAATACCATTATATATATATATATATATATATATATATATATACCATATATATATAGAAATGCGGTGTGACTTATGATACACCCTGTATATATATATATATATATATATATATATATATACAGGGTGTATCATAAGTCACACCGCATTTCTGGGGAATTAATTTGTCAAGTCAAAATAAGTCGAAAATAAATAATGACAAAATTACGTTTGAGCTTTCTTTAAAAAGTTGCTTTAATAGACAGACCAATTCTACAGCGAGTGATAAATTATCTTTTAAATCGTGCTAATTTGTTTATTTAAGTTAATGGCGGATTATTTGAACACCTTATGTAATTTCAACCTTGTTGTCTATTTATTAGTTAATTTATGTTGTTTTCAACTTACAATTAAATAAAAATAAATTTTACTCCAAATAAATTTTTGTTTATTTGATTGTCACTCTTTAAAGAAAGCTCAAACGTAATTTTGTCATTATTTATTTTCGACTTATTTTGACTTGACGAATTCATTCCCCAAAGATGCGGTGTTACTTATAATACACCCTGTATATATGTATATATACACACATATATATGTTATGTACATGTATATACAGGGTGTCTCGCAACGTGATGTCCATACTGAAACTCTGTATTTTTAGTGTCATTCTAAGTCGAAAAATTTTAATATACATATGCCCTAAATCAATTGTTTTAATATTACAGCAAAAAAACAAAATTGCATTAAATAAGAACAATATTAAGAGTTTAACAAGGCTCTGTAATATAAATATAAATTTAAAGATATAAGACAGGCAATAAGAGCCAACTCGCGGATGACAGTGCGTTATCCTAACAAAACTAAATTTTTTGTTAGGATTAAGTATCTGTGCACAAGGCACCAAATTTTACTTGGTCACGGCCAAGATTTAAAATATGAAATAATCTCATATTTGAGACTATGAGAAACTTTTCTTTAATTTACGATAATGCTTCTCTTGTATTAAAATATAGATTTTATAGTAAAAACTATTTTAAGTTTTGCTTTAAAAAGGTGCAACACAAATTGCAAAAAAATGTTGATTTTATATTATTAGCATAACAGTAGGTGCATAATCTTTTATTGTTAAGTGAAAGTGCGCGTGCAATTGATGAGAGAAGAACGATGAAGATATGTGAAGAAAAGAAAAGAATGATATGAGCCGCTTGACGCCTGATTATCGTAAAGTTTCGTTGTCGCCGCCCAGGAAAACAAGTTTACTGACGGGGCGCGTTAAATTCGTACTCGCGGTACGTATATCGACTACGCGCACGTGGCCGTCGGATCCGGGATGCAGACAAGTGATGCGCGCGAGCGGCCACCGCGTTGGTGGGGTGGTTTCGCTGCGGAGTAAACACAGACGACCGACGTGAGCCTCCTGGTTGACTCGGGACGATTTTGGCCGATGGGCCAGCGTGTGTAAGTATTCGCTGGACCACCGGGACCAGAAATGGTCCCTCATCTGTTGCAGGAGCTGCCAGCGTGATAGTCGGGCCGACGGCTCTCGTTCGAGCGACGGTTCCGGTACTGAGGAGAGAGCAGTACCGATCAAGAAGTGCCCCGGTGTGAGAGCTGCGACGTCCTCAGGATCGTCGGACAAGGGCTGCAGCGGTCGAGAATTGAAGCAAGCCTCGATCTGCGAGAGTAGCGTCGCCAGCTCTTCATAGGTGAGGGTTGCATCACCTATGACTCGTCGCAGATGGTACTTCATGGATTTAACCGCGGCTTCCCACAAGCCGCCGAAGTTCGGTGCCGCCGGTGGATTAAAATGCCACTGGATCTTCTCCTGTGCGGCGAATGCGGCGATGCGGCGTCCGTCGGCACTGGCGGCGGAGAAGAGAGCGCTTAGCTGCCTGTCAGCACCCACGAAGTTGGTACCGCAGTCACTGTATAAGGTGATGCAGACCCCTCGCCTTGAGATGAACCGGCGCAAGGCTGCGATGAAGGCGTCGGCGGAGTAGTCCGAGACTACGTCGAGGTAAACGGCTCGAGAGGCTAAACACACAAAAACTACAATGAACCCTTTAGTTGCTTTGTGTCCGCGGCCCTTCGAGGTCCTCAGCCAAACCGGACCGGCGTAGTCGACGCCGGTGTGCAGAAACGGCCTGCTTGGTGTGACCCTCGGCACCGGGAGATCGCCCATGAGAGGCTGGGGGATGGCGGCTCGCCATCTAGTGCACCTTACACATCGGCTGATGTGTCTTTTCACCAACGACCGACCTCGAGGGACCCAATACTCCCGGCGTAGGGAGCACAAGGTCATCTGAGTACCACCGTGTAACGTCCGCTGGTGATGGTCATCTACGACGAGGAGAGTGAATGTCGACTCGCTGAGCAGTATTGGCGGGTGAGTGGCATCGTACGGCAGGTTAACGTGTTTGAGGCGCCCGCCGACTCGTAGAAGTTCCTCGCTGTCCATGAATGGAGTCAGTTTCTGCAGGGAGCTTCGCGACGGCAGAGGCGTTCCATTTTGCAGCCTTCTGATTTCTTCTGTAAATATTCTAGCCTGAATCAACCTCACCCAGGAGAGGCGGGCTTCCGTCAGTTCGTCGGAGCTGATCACGCCAGGCTGGCTTTGCGCGTGGCGGAGCTGACGGTGAATCAGCAACCAGCGACGGCACCAAGCCATGATCCGCAGCAGTCGTTTCAGCGAGGAATAGCGCAGCAGCAATTCCGGCTCGGGCTTCAGCTCGGTAACGGCGGCGACGTGGGTCCGGACTCGTCTCTCTGGGAGGTCCTCAGCTGACATCTCCTCGCTGCTTGTCGTCCAAGGATTGCTCTCCTCTGTAAGCCATGCGGGACCTTGCCACCAGAGCGGGTGGTCAACCAGTTCGCTAGGGTAGAGTCCCCGGGAAGCACAGTCCGCTGGGTTCTCCCGACCTGGTACGTGATGCCAGTGGGCGTCCGGGATCAGTGTCTGTATTTCGCTGACCCGGTTGGCTACATAGGTGGCCCACATCGAGGGATGCCCACGCATCCAACCAAGCGTGACGGTGGAATCAGACCACATGTGAAGAAGTGCCTTGGTTGCTCCGATGATCGGTACGGTGTGGGCGACTAGACGAGCCAGAAGGGTGGCGGCCGACAGCTCCAACCGAGGTAATGATACTTGCTTCAAGGGCGCGACCTTAGTTTTTGCAGCTAAGAGTGCCACCTTAATAAGACCCTTTGTTTCTGTCCTCAGGTATAGCACCGCTGAGTAGGCACGCTTTGAGGCATCGGCGAACCCGTGGATTTCCAGCTGTGAGTCAGTCAAACCTCCCAGCCATCGAGGTACGAGCAAGTTTTCCAAAGCAGGCAGCTCGTTCTGGAATCGCAGCCATCTTCTCTCTTCGTCGCTGGGTAGCGGAGCGTCCCAATCAAGACCTAGCAACCAGGTGGACTGGATGAAGATCTTGGCTAATACCGTTGTTGGGGCCAGCCAGCCGAGAGGGTCGAACATTTTCGCCGTCAAAGATAGTACCGACCTTTTGGTGAAGGTCGATAGCGTGGTCAGTTTGGTTGCGAAAGCGAAGCGATCGTCACGTGGTTGCCAGCGTAAACCGAGAGTGGAGTGACTCTCGCCGGGCAGCCACCATCTGGCCTCTCGTCGAAGACGGTCGTCGGGCTCCACTTCGTTCAGCAGTAGCGAGTGGTTTGCCGACCACTTTTTAAGTGAGAAGCCGCCCGCCTTCCAGATATCAATCAGCTGTTGCAGCATTACTTCGGCTTCCTCCATGGTCTCTGCACCGGCCAGGATGTCGTCCATGTAGACGTCGCTCAGCAGGATGAGGGCTCCTTTCGGGTAGCGATGTCCTTCGTCTTCGGCCAGTTGGCGTAAAGTGCGGATCGCCAGATAAGGAGCACAGGATAGACCGTAAGTAACGGCACCTAGCCAGTACTCCTTGATTTCGTCGTTGGCGTTCTCTCTCCACAATATCCTTTGCAGGTTTTGGTCGTCGAGGTGCACCAGTATCTGTCTATACATCTTTTCGATGTCAGTCGCGAAGACGTAGCAATGACGTCGCCAGCGCAGCAGGATGTCGGCTAGCGAAGGCAGCAGATTCGGACCAGTTGTGAGATATTTATTGAGAGAGTCTCCGTTTGGCAAGGAGCTCGAGCCGTTGAAGACGACCCTCAGTTTGGTTGATGAGCTGTCCGGACGCAATACCCCGTGATGAGGCAGGTAGCAAGCCCCTGGATGCGATTCAGTTGACGACGGAGCAGGCCTCATGTGTCGCAGGTTCAAATATTGTTGCATGAATGCCACGTACATGGTTTGAAATTCGCTGTCTCTCTCAAATTTTTTCTCAGTGTGTTGCAGAGCTCGGCGGGCGGCGCGGATTGTTCCTGAGAGGTCCGGCAGCGAGTTAATCGTGGGCAGGCGCACGATATACCGGCCGTCTGGAGAGCGAGTATGATGTCGGCGATAGTGCTCTTCGCACTCAAGTTCGGTCTTGGTGAGGATCGGAGATGGCCGACGAACTTCCTCCTGCTCTCAGAACCGCCGCACCAAGCAGGTGATGTCCTCCTCGGTTTGACAATGGTGAGTAGAAACACGCTGGCCGCGTGCATTCTCATTGATGGTACCTGAGAGTATTCACCCTAGAGAGGTCTGCTGTACCACCGGTTCCTGATGACCCCCCTTTTTTAGGCCCTCGCGGATGATTACTCCGTAGACGTCGGCGCCCAGCAGAAGGTCTACTGGATCCGCGGAACGGAATTCTGGATCGGCGAGCTCCAGGTCCTTAAGATGGATCCAGGATTGCAGACTTCGGCGGCATCCTCCGGCGAAGAGAGTTAGCTTCGGCAAGATCAAGGCGGCGACGGAGTTGGACTGGTCACCGTTGTGCGCTCGAAAGGTAAGCTGAACCTTGCCTTTGGCAACTCCCGTCCTTTTCTCGCCAAGTCCATAGACGCTGACGGCGGCGGGCAGGCGAGGCAGTCGCAGTCGCTGAACCAATCGCTCCGATATGATGGACGACTCTGAGCCCTGGTCGATCAGCGCTCGGGCGGAATGCCAGGATCCGTGGCAATCGAGGACGCGGACTCGAGCTGTGGCGAGCAACACCGTGACAGAGGCAGGGTGCGATCCTTGCACTAAGTGTGATGTCGTGGCGATCTGGGCGTTGCAGAAGGCGTCGTGCAGCGAGGAGTGATGCCGACTGCCGCACGTCGTGCAAGTCTTTTTTGACGCGCATTCCGTAAGCTGGTGTCGACCTAGGCAGTTTGAACAGAGATTTGATCGTTGACAAACTGCCTGCGGGCCATAGCCGTCTTTTCTTTGTAATTGCCACAAAACATTATAAAGTGGTCGCCCTGGCAATCTGCGCACCGACTTTTGGACCTATCCTTCGGTTCAGCTTTCTTCACGTGATGGCTCCGTGTTGATCTTGCACTGCTGTGGTTGCGGCTGTCGTTCTTGACTGGAAACAGTGCCTCCAAAGTATGAAGCCGTCGCTCGATGAAGGCTTCCAGCTCGGCGTAGGTAGGCGGGTTGGTCGTGTGACTGATGACGCTCTCCCATTCTCGACGAGAACGATTGTCGAGGAGCTCAACGACCAGATGCACAAAGAGGTCCTCCGTGCGATTGATGGGCCGATCGATGCTCTTCAGCGAGCTGACTGTTGTTTTTACGCCGTGGAAGAGTCGCCCCAGTTCAACTGCGGATTCGCTTTTCATCTTAGGAAGCGCCAGGAAGTTGTTGAGGTAGTTTCGGGTTAAGAACCTTGTGTTTTCGTAAAAATCGCTTAGCGTCTTCCAGGCGATTTTGTAATTTTCCTCCGTAGTGTTCAGGTTGCGTATTAGTAGCTCCGCATCACCCTTGACACAGAGTTTGAGATAGTGCAATTTCTCAACAGGTCTGGCTGCCTGGTTTCTGCCAATGATGGACTGGAAGAGGTCTCGGAAGGAAGGCCAGTCTTCGTACTTCCCGGCGAAGGTCGGCGGCTGAATTTTAGGCAATGCGGTCCGAGGAGCGGCGGCCGGTGTCGCTGCCGAAATTGATCTGGATGTATGCTCTTGTCGTTGGAGAGCGCTCTTCAGATCGAGCATGAGGCCCTTGTTCTGCAGGTAAGCCTCCTCGCCCAACGAAGGGATATCTTGTTTGGCGTAAACCTCATGTCGCGTATTTCGTCCACACGATCGGCTAACGTATCGTTAATCGCGTCAAATTTCTCCCACAGCTTCTCGAGATTTTGAAGCCGTGCCTCCACCGCGCCGAGGGTGATATTGGCCTCGCCGAGCTTCCGAAGGTTCTCGTACGCGCGCGAGATCTTGCCGTATAGCACTGTGGCTGTAGCAATGATGGCCTTAGTGTCTGTCATTTCTAAAACTGTTTCTTTTTTCCAGGAGCACTGGTTACCGACTGATTCACTATTGCTTCCGTGGCACCGGATTCAAAGGAGGTTCCTGAGGATCCGGCTCGAAGGACCAAATAATGTGCGCGACGGAAGGCAGGATAGGAAGGTCGGAAGCGAAAAGACAGCGAAGCACTGCACTCAACACACGCGTAACGTGAACAAAAATTATATTTAAACTACGAACAACAAAAATTACAATTGTTTAAACCGCACAGAAATTGCCCGAGAATTAACTGATAAGAATAAACCAAAAGAAATAGCCGAGTCGGTAATTAATAACTAAATGTTCCGCAAGCAACGGTAATTAGACGTGATAAAACGAAAAAGACAAGCGATCTTTTTCGTACAGTAGAAGCACACTCTTGACGCGACAAGCAATCGGAAAAGAGCCCCACGATCACGAGAGAGGAGGTTTTTATAGGCCTGTGTTTCTAGAATAGTCGAGAACAATTCTCTTTATTCTATTGTTCGGCTGAGGTCGAAAGAGCGTTTAGTGTAATTATTTACTTTCAGAAAAATAGTCGTTTTGTTATTATCGGGACTATATTGTATCTCCTCTCGCGCGACCGCGGTGTTTACCATTATCGGTGATTTGACGTAAGCGCTTCCTTTTCGCAGGCGCGGGGTATACGTATACCTGTGCGGCCGAGCGCTATTTGAAATAATATTAATATAAAATGATGCATGATGCATGTTGCATGTGAATGAAACGATTGCATGAGTTTTAACGCAATAATGTTTTAAGCCTTTTCAGCTTGCGTTAGACGTTCGATTTTCGAACAATATATATATATTTATGTATTACAAGATTAGAGAGGTATTTTAATAAACTCACCTGTACGCTTTAAATCTTCTATCAAATTTATTACAATATTAATGTAAATATTTTTACTCGTATTTCTTATTGATATAACTACAGATAATAATTTATGTAGAATTGTAGGTTAAACTTTAATATCACAATTTGTGCATTAATATATACACGCGTCTGCATATTGAAAACTAACTTTTTCACACATAGAAATGATACCAATAATAAAATGATACCAATAATAAAATTCTATAAGGGAATGGGGGTGATAAATAGTATATATGTGCTAAACTACCTGGTTAATAAAAAAGTGAATAAGAAGGGAGGGAAGGTAGTGGCGGCCTTCATAGATCTGAAGGCGGCGTTTGACTCAGTGGATAGGGACGTGTTAATGAAGGCAATGAGGAATAGAGGGATAAGAGAAGGATTGAGAAGTAGGATAGAGGAGGTATACAGAGAGACGAGGAGCAAGGTAAGAGTGGGGAAAAAGGAGAGAGAAAACTTTTGGACGGCAAGGGGTGTGAGGCATGGTTGCCCAATGAGCCCATACTTGTTTAACTTATTGATAGCAGATATAGAGGAAGTGCTGAGAAAAGGAGGTTGGGGAGGGGTAAAGCTGGGAGGGGAAAACTTGGTGCACTGCTTGGCATATGCAGATGACATGGTACTGTTGGCGAAGGATGAGGAAGGGATGATACATATGTTGGGGAAAATGGAAAATTACATGGATAAAAAAAGGTTAGAGGTGAATGTGAATAAGACATAAGTAATGAAGTTTAAAAGGGAGGAGGAAGAATGAAGAAAATGGAGTGGAGGTGGAAAGGGAAAAAATTAGAGGAAGTGAAAGAATTCAAGTATTTAGGATATAAGTTACAAAGGAATGGGGGACAGGAGGCACAGGTAAAGAACAGAGTTAGGAAAGCAGGAGCGGTGATAAGACAGGTGTGGGGAATGGGAAAGAGAAGGTTTGCAGGAGACTGGATGAAGAGTATGGCTAATGGAAAGGTTGGTGGGGACGGTGTTGGAATATGGGGCGGAAATAGGAGGAAGAAGGTATGAGGATGAGTGAAAGTATGAATGAGGTGTTGGAGAATGTATGGGGAACTGGAAGCCGAGGCAAAGCGAGGTAATAGATTAGGGACGACTCTTTCTCTCTCTTAATTAGTAGATAGGTAGATTAAGTTAGAATTAAGGTAATTGTAAGTTAGATGTAAAAGTAGTTTGTAAGTTAATATTTTAAGAGATTGTAAGGTTTGGGTACGCTCCTTAAAAGCGCCTTTAATCCCTAAGGAGGCAAATAAAGTAATGAATGAATAAAATTCTATAATTTATATAGAAACAAATTTGTATTAAACAGTTTTATATGCAAAGGCACAAAGGTGAAAGTAAGTATACTCACCGATAAGTATGATCTCAAAACAAAAAACAAATCCTTAATAATAATGGACGAAGAACCTGATCTTATTAATAACAGTGCACATGTAAGAAAAATAAGTAAGTTTGATTTGGCTAAATTATATTTTCTCCTTATTTTGTGTTTAAAAAACACAGATACACAAAACTTTCAACCGGTTCCAGAATTACTTTTATTGCGCACGTATTACATTTCTCACTTTCCCGCTATTACCACAGTGTATACTGTAGGTTTGTTCGCGTCGCATGCCCCAACTTGCTTCTTTTTACTTCAATACGCTCGTATTGGTCCAATTCGAGAAGCGCACCAATACGAGCCCATTGGAGTAAGAAGGAGCATGTTGAGGCATGCGACGCGAACAAACCTTGTGCTATTGCACTGTCACGCAATTTATCGTGTCCAATCCAAAACCCAGAAGCGTGCCTGCGCTTTACGTTCGCGTTATTCAATTCAAATGTATTCTAAACGGCGGCATCAATGGAGTTCTCATCATACACCCAGACAGATATCATTTGTTACGATAAGTGCGTGATAGGGTAGGATTCTATCAATGCTGTTAGATATGAAATTTTCATACTTTTGGAATTGCAAACGCAGTAATTAATATAATAAAGCAATATATTAATAATGAAGCAATATATTTTTCATTACCTTATTTTTTACTTTTATCATTCTATATTTGTGTTTGA